GATATTTTTGAATACTAAACATTTTTCTAACATCCTATCAACCTGGAGTTGCTCCGTAACTTACTGAATTTTCATAAATCGAATTCTAACCCTCTTAGTAAAACTTCACTTTTCAATCGTAACGATAAGTTAATAAAGAGAAAAGTTACAGCCACTTTAAATTTATGTTTCGACCGGACGCTACGTTAAACATCGTTACGACTCCCTGTCGATCTGTCGAGAGAAAGGCCCTTAATAATAATGTTGATAGATAACTCGAATGCCAGGACATGCGAGTGACTTAAGCGATCTGCAAGTAATTAGTACTAGTATGACTTCACTAAATACTGTTTATAAAAGTAATCCCGAGAAGTCCCGAATATGCCGTAAAAGTCGATGCCTCCTGAAAACCACAAACGATCCCGAAAAATACTGAAGAGTATTACACAAGGGATTCCAAAGAGTCCTGAACAAATAAAAAAGTTCCGAAAAATACCCAAAGTTCTTGAAAAAAATACCAGTCCAGCGCCTTCGTCTTGAGCTGCGGGCTGCGTCTGAGCCACAGCCGCTAAACCTAAACGTAACAATAATAACAGCATATTCAGATTAAAAACTGTACATTAGTTTTGATTTTATTGGATTGAATTTTATACCCATTTCAAGTGCTATTCACCTTTTAAACAGGCGGGAGCCCTTTTTGTACCCGAGCGCACTTGTGCACAAGGGTATTATAACTTTTTTCACATAACGGTTGCTTGTAACAGGCAAAACGAATCAAGATAGATATAGACAAATGTAGACACAAATGATCAGGATGAAAAGAGAAATGTAGATGACGATAACTCGAATAAAAATTAAGATATCTTGACGAAACTAGGTACGTTCACTTCTTTCGGGCGTAGCACGTATGGTATTGAAAATGGGCAAAATCGGACAATAACCACGACTACCTCCCATATAACGGTAGTTTTCAGAAATACGAAAACTGCGATATTTTAGTAACTACTGAAGATTATTCACTCAAAATCGATATTTACAATAATTTTCAGGCGAAAAATAAAAATATTATAAATTTTTGGAAAATTGGTTTTTCCACGCCCACTTACGATTATATGTATGTTAGAGTAAAAACACTCTTTTTGGAAATTCATAAACGCTACATCAGAATATTGTTATTTGTGATAAAAACAGAGACACGTATTTTTTTATTTTGAAAAAAAAAATGATTTCTTAGAGGTCGCGCTGGTCAGCTTTTTATAAAAACGCTAATGTTCTCAATTTTTTTGTTTTCTTGATATGTTAAAATGCAGCTAAAAATATGGTTTTTACATATAATTACTCTGGTATTATTGGGGAACTTTCACTTAAATACACACCTATCTTGGAGAATTAGAATGGGTCTAGTTCCCGAAAATATGCTCTCGAAAAGCCACTAGCAAAATTAAAACGTTGATACTGAACGATTTACGCAATGTCATGGGTTGAAACCTGTTACCAGGGGGTTTCTGGGGTTGCTAATTAGGAATCTGAAGTCAGTTTTTCGAAATTCAAAATGGCAGATCCAAAATGGCGGTCCAAAGTTTTAAAAATGATTGGATTTGTTCGAAAAACGGCACTCGAGAGTTTTTGGGGTCGCCGATTACGAATCTGAAGTCAATTTGTTTTAATTCAAAATGGCGGATCCAATATGGCGATCAAATTAAAAAAGTACTAAAATTAAAACGTTGATACTGAACGTTTAAAATATTGTCAAGTGTTAAAACACGTTTCCAGAGGGTTTCTGGGGTCGCTGATTACGAATCTGATGTCAGATTTTCAAAATCCGAAATGGTGTATCCAAAATGGCGACCAACTTTAAAAAAATTATTGGATTTGTTTGAAACTCTTAACCGCCATTTTTAATTTTGAAATCTGACATCAGATTCGTAATCAGCAACCCGAGAAACCCACTGTAAACGTGTTTTAACCCTTGACAATGTTTAAAAGTTCAGTATCAACGTTTTAATACCTTTCTTCCGAGATCCCATAAGTTTAAATCAAAATAGTTTTCGCCCAGTTATTTAAGTTTTTCGTAAATTAATCTTTGAAAAAAGTAAAAAACAGCATCAAAAATTTCATTACGATTCCGTTGAAAAGATTTTTAAATATTTTTATGCAGATTTTTTAAGCCTAATCTGTTTTGTCATCTGAGGGGACTTTTCTCAAAAAGTTCTTTAAGAAACTATTTTCATTCATAAAAACTCCATTTTTTGAGGTATTTTAAATCGGTCCAGCTCGCTTAAATTTTAATATTTTTTCGAAATATGTTAATGAACGTCTTAAAAGATAAAAGATAAGTTTTCTAATCCCTGCGGAAAAAAACCGCAACTTTTTTGTGGTGATGCAGTCTTATGTATTTATCTAGTAACCGCTCCACCAATTTCTTCCAAACTTAGCCCAGTTACTGGCCTTGGTACAGCATACCAAATGGGCGAAAATTTTTAAAATCGGACAATAACCATGCCCACATCCCATATTAATTTGAGAGAAATACGAAATAATCGATAAATCTGTAAATGCAATGATTCTTTAGCAAAATGATAATATTTTGGAAAATGGGCGTGGCACTGCCTACTTATGATCAGATATATGTATCTCGCAAATCGTTATGCCAATTTGTACCACACTCGGTATGATTATTATGCTTGCCATATAAAAGCAAAACGTTGAAAATGATTGAATCGGACTAAAATTATGGTCACTTTTCATATAACGGTTAATTTCAGAACTGATTGAAACTTCGATTTTTCGTATTTTAAGGACGCTAATTTGCTCAAAATTAATACTCCCTTAAAAAGAAGTAACATTATTATGGAATTTTTGGAAAATGGGCGTGATACCGCCCAAATATGACTATATAAGTTTATCTCTTCATTTATAACTGAACGTTTTATCGAATATGTTTAAAATAGGTGTAAACCACCTCTGCTTACCATGTAGCGGTAGGTATGTTTAATACTTGCGCCGACTGAACTTAGACTTTCTTACTGGTTGATATTCTTAATGTTCATGCTAGATATTTTCTAATACTCCCTCCTTTGACACCTTTATTTTTATATTCCATACAGTAACTTGTGTATAATTTAAATAAAACCTTGTCAACCATTTTTCGTGTGGCACCCATATACATATTTAAATTAGCTAAATCCCTTAATTCAAGTCGCATTTAAATTGTTAATCGGGTAGCAACTCTGTTACTTTTAAAACTAAACGTCTGACACCCGTGTTTCGATGCATATTTACATCATTCATCATAATTCCCTTAATTCACGATGAAATTTTAAACAGGTGGAAACCTTCCCACATGTAGTTCAGAAATAAAATATATTGAAACCGATTTTGATTGACATCCATATTGAAGTAATTCATTACATTAAATTCTACTTTGTAAAGGGATGGCAACTCTCCTTAAATATTTTCAAACCACACTCGCTTTCATCTGACACTCATATCGGCATTCATATTTCAATTTTCTAAACGCCTTAATTTAAGTTTGAACTTGATTTTGTAAACGGGTGGCAACGCAGGTCATTCGTTTAACCTATTGAATATTCCGACATCTAGTTTAAAAAAACAGTTTTTTAAAAGCTATTTTCATTAATATTCATATTGTTTTATACATTGAATTTATCTTTGTAAATAGGTGGCAAACCTCCTACTTGTAATGAAGAAATAAAGCCTTTTTCAAAACCATTTCGATCGATACCCATATTGTAGTAATTGATTTAACTTATTAATAACTTGTATTTTATTATTTGTCAGGTGTTTAAATCTTGTAAAAACGAATCAAACTTCACAAAATGTTTATCAAAATAGGACTTCCGTTCCTTCATTGGGACTAGGACTTTCGTTCCTTCACATTCTTTACTTCTTTTTTCTAAAGAATAGCTAGAGTTTCAGTTTTAGAGCTATGCTTAAGCTTCTCTTAGAAAGGAAAAATGTACATGAAATAATAATGACATGTACAAAGTAACCGTTGTTCCAAGCACACGCAGATATGCCTACTGCAATGGTTTTCTGCATTTGGACTATGTTTCTTTGGAAAAACACCTTCTTACCTGCCTTCGAAATACAAGAATTTTGTAAGATCTTCTAATACCGCTATATTATAAAATGCAATAAGAGGAGCAATATATTACAGCATTTATGAAGAAGCGCTCCTCATTTTATAAACCGAGATTGTCTACAAAACATGATCATAGCTTCTACAATGGTGTTTCAGCTACTTTATATGGAAACTGACTTCAGCATCCTCTCCTTAACTGAAACACCTGCTCGTCTACTTAATACCGCCTTCAAAGAACTAGGTCTTACAGGAAAACCCCTAACTGAAAGCATTTATTTAGAAGCGCTCCTTACCGACCGGGATTGTTTACAAAACATTTTCAAATATATCTAATACAACAGTGTTTCAGTTCCTTTATGCGTAAACTCACTTCAACGTCTTCTCATTAATTATACCCTACATTTGCGAAGCTGAAATTCAAACTTTTTAATTGTCCCTTAATTTACATTTCCTGCCGTAAAGTTTCCAGTTTTCTTAGAGACGCAGTCATTATCTAATTAACCTTTTAAATCGTTACGCTTTACAATTTCTTTTCCTTTCCTATCTTCTTTTTCTTCTTCTTCAATATGTTCCTTTCTCTAACGACATCGTGTCAGTTTGTTAGTGATTATCAGGCTCAGTGCATCCTTTCTGTGATGGCTACCTTAACTTATTGTATCCTTAATGTATTCTGTTTCTTATAAATAAGTAATTTTTGAAAAAGGACAAAATATAAAGCAGATAGCGGGCATGCTTGTTACGGGAACCTAAATACATAATAACGTTCGAAAGGAAAATTTGCTGGTATTTGGTGTAGAATTCAAACTCGTTGCTATGCGCTCAAAAATTAAAGTTTTAATACAGTTTTATACGTGTTGGAATTTTTCATTGTCCCTTTTAATGTGTAAGCTGTCCGATGTGTGCAACAACTACTTACTTACTGCCCTTATCAGTCGACGCAACATGCCACAGCTTCGGTAAAGCCCAGTTTGCTAGATGTATGACAAAACACTTTTATATGTATATAGGTTGCTTCTTCTTATTTATCCTTGTCGAAAATTTCTTTACACTATCATTGCACTAGCATTTCAGGCAACACACGTGTCATGCATAGACATAAAATATTCTGTTTGGAGCAACCACAACCTTGTCTTCTTAGCATTAGCACTGAACCATTTTCGGTTAATTTACTTGTAAAAAATTTCACTTAATTGGCTTCAAAAGCAAGAGTTTCCAGCATGCCACTGTATATTTTCTTCAAACCCTTTTTGACGTTTTTCTTTCATGTTATTTTCGTTGTTAGGGCTTTATGCACTGGGTACATTTTCATTTCGTACACATCCAGTTTCGATTATTTCCTCCTTCTTATTCTTAGATTTCACTTAAGCTCGTAATTAACACATACTATGTAGCTGTTTTACTTTTAACTAACTGACTGACTTATTCTGATTATTGTTGTTGTGGATCATTCTTCTTTTGCTTCGTCAAACACTGAACTTTCACCAGAACTTGTACAAATCCTCCTCAATCACACTTCATCGTCACTATTGTCTGCTTAAAGTTGACTTTCAACGAAACTTTTGCTACTGCTAGACTCACGCACAGACTGCGCCTCAGCTGTCGTCGACATTGAAGTTACAATCGAAGAAACGCGATATGATGCGGTCGCGCCATCACCGAACACCAAAACACTCCGACGGATGAGCACAAACTAAATTTTGATTGGAAAAAACACTATAGCAACTGACACCTAAGGACATCGTGTTGTTCAACGTTAAACGATGTCAAAGAAGCGGCTGCAGCTGTGGCAGCATTCGTCGAAGGTGTTTTTTTTTTTTTTTTGTTGGTCGGCAAAGGCTGCGAACTTTAGTGTAACGGCATTCGCGAACGTTGCTGAGAGATGCGTACCGCTGAATGAACGAAGTGAAACACGAAGTGTATCACAATAGACAAAGTTGAGCTGCCTGAGCAGGTAAATGAGAGAAAGAACGAGTGAAAGTTTAGCTTAGCTAACGGTTAACTGTAGACTATACATCGCTGTGTATTTCTTTCTCATCGTAGTGGGTGGAAAATCGCGGGGTTGTGGGTTGGGCGCGGAAGAGAAACGAAACAGATGAGAGAGAGTGTAAAAGTATGAACTCAATAAAATATTCAGCAAACAATTTAGGGAGTATACAACCGGCTTCGACACCACCTTTAAAGCTACAAGTTGTATAAGAGTAGACTACAAATTCGGAGTATTAATTGAGAAGAGATAAAACATGCTAGGTGATTTGGTGTCCTTTGTCAAAAACAAAGCAAAAAATGAAATTGATGGCGTAAAGGCAGCATGGACAATTTAGACTTACATATTTACTAAGTACATATGTACGTACGTAATCATTTTTTCATAAATTGTGTGAGAAAGCATTTTTCACATATGTACATATATAGATACCACTGAAATTAAATGCTCAGATGCAATTCTTTTTTTTCGTGCGATAGCAGCGAATCTTATTAACAGTTCAGTTAAATACTTCATTAATAAGAACTAAACTCTCTCCAATCTTAGTTGCATTTTTTTAATCAATCAAAAATTCTGCGACTCTGTTTTTGCTCTCTGTATTTCTGATTAAAACATACAGGGTTGCCACTTTTGTAAATTATTGCCAAATTTAGTAGACAAAATTTGGGTTGGTGAATAGGTAAATTTGTTTTCATTTTGGTAGATTTTTGTTTAAGTAATTTGTGCGAACTTTAAAACTGTTCGTTCTGGCTTTATTTTTCGTAGTTATCCATATATTCTGTTTTATCCTGAGTTTCGCTCGAAAAAAATCACCCGAAAATCGTTCATCCGCCAATAGTAAATACTTGGAAACCAAAAAGTCTGATTATAAATTTCTTTCTAAAAGTATGGTCTACTTAATTCCATTAATTTTCAAACGTTTTAATGCACAATTCATCGATAAAAGGCGAATATATTGTGTCCTATTCAAAACTCATTTTACTGGAATCCTGGGGAGCTTTTGATTGCCTACATATTTTAAATTATTATTTAAATACAATTAAAAAAGAACAAATACAAAAGTCCGGTGGCAAAAAAAAAATTTAAATCAACGGGAATTTTTCAATGGATACTAAAACTTTTTACCCAAAAATGTTCCAAAAATGTACAGAAAAAAGTTCAAAATTTTGGGCGCAAATTTGTCGTTCTAAGTTATAGCTTTAATCCTTGATTTTTGTGATTTTTGCTAAAGCGTTAACGATATTCTTTTACAAAAAAAGTTAAAAAAACAAGTTTACTTGAAAAACATTGTAAATATTAAAAAAATTAAAAGCGGGTTTTGAGTCACTGTATTTGTCTATAAAACTCCAGTTGTAGTTTTTTTCAAATGATGAATTTTCGTTGTTGTTGCGGCTAAAACAACCTCTCCCAGATCGGCTAGTTTCGATAATTTATTTCGTTGAAGGAAACCGAAAGAAGTCATTAGTTTTATCTCAAATATCATATCATTGGTTAAATAAAAAGTTCCTGAATAAAAAAATAGTTTTTATTCAAATAACTCATAAAAAGAACAAATCTATAGTTTTTATTAAAATAACTAAACAAAGTTATTGGTAGATATTTTCCAGATTTGGTAGATTTTTTCAAAGTAAATGGTAAGTATGTTTGTTCGTTAGTGGCAACCCTGAAGGCATATAAACACGCTCCTTCTCTTATACGGTTACACCTTCAATAACTACTTCTACCATCAATACATAAAACACTCTTATGTTATTACTAAAAGAGTAATTCTTTCAATTCTACAAAATTATTACCAATCTAGAAAGTCTCCAATGACCTGTTGGAATTTTCAATGATAAGTTGGGATTATCTACAGTTCGTATCAAAATGTTCGCGAAATGAACAGCAATATGTGTAATGGATGGTTGGTTGAAGTGGCGAATGTAGCAACTCCGACTGGCACCAAAACGTTTTGTTTTAAAATCACAAATCGCAAATTAGCCTGAGACAAAATATAAATAGATACTTGCAAAGGTAGGCAATCCGATCGAGTGGGTCTAGTATTTTCAAGACTCCAGGAAGTCCTGTAAAGCTTTTGGAAGTAAAAAGGAAATGTGTTCTAGAGTGGAGTCAAATCCCATACACAACTAGTGATGAAACGATACCATAGAAGTATCGATACCTGTACTTGGAAGTAACATCGAAAGAAATACAAAAAAATAAAATTTAGACGCAAATCAACTTCTTTTGGAAATATACCATGGTCATTCTGATAAAAATTAAGAGTATATACTAATTTGTAAAATTGTTTAAATAATACATTAGGTACTATAAGCCGTCAATTGAAAAACTCGGATTTTGTCGCGCTGACCAAAAACAATTGTGGCTCCAGCTTTTGAAAATAATCTCTCGCATGGTACGGAAATCGCAACTATATGTAGATACATACGCGCCTATTTGTATAACATTGGATAGGTTGATTTTAAATCCTCCCATTCCTCTACTTGAATAAGACTTTTTAGGTTAAAAATTGCCCGGCCCCAAGCGTTCGCATCTTGAAAATGAAGATTCTTGAAGTGATGATCGATGATAGTTCCTAAAGCTGCGTAGGTGTTGTATTCAATGAGTCCAAATAAAGAATAAAAAAGTTAATTAAAAATAGAAAAAACAAGTTTTTATAAAAAAAAATGTTCTTTTCAACAAATGTATTTTTGCGTAGAATTCCTTTCTGCGTAGGCGGCCTTCGGCCGCACTCAGGGATTATAACCCTCTTTCTGTGTTGCCAAAGAAGAGGGGCTGAACACCTTTTGCAGAGAACACCTTTTTGCGTAGGCGGCCTTCGACTGCACTTATGGATTATAACCCTCAGGCAGTAGAATTCTCCTTTCAGTTTTGCGAAGAAAAGGAGCCTAACACCTTTTGCAGAGAACACCTTTGTATATTTTAAATGCTTACTGGGTTATGTTCTATCTTCTTTTGTCTCTCATTCTTTTGCATATTTTGGAGTTTGACAGCTGAACTCCGCCATTTAATTTACATATGCAACCAAAGTCAGACGCGTGATTTTGAAGGTGTTTTTATTTAATGAATTGTGGTTAATTGGTTAAAATTAAAGTCGTAAAAAAAGTTATAACTAATCGAATAAAGTGCAGAGTGAAGGGGAGTATAAAAATATGTTGGTGAAGTGGCTGCTTTAAGAAGAATAGGAATGTTAAATGTACGATAATTTCCGAATTTTACAAAAAAGGGCATATTTCAAACCCAATTTGTAAATAAATTTGTGACCAAAAATTACAAAGTGGGTGTTAAAATAATGTTTAGACCCTTGGCTATAAGCGTGTGAATTTTTTTTTTGGATCGGGCCACCCCTTTGGACGGAACAGGCTGAGATAGTTGGGAGCGCTACTAAACCCTATATTAAAAAATAAAAGTGCGGGAATGAAATTGTCAGTGAATTGGGGTTTTGATACAAGTACTTTTTTCCGATACCTACTCAGTACTCGGTTCAAAAGTATCGAATACAAAATTACTTGGTATCGGATAAAATGTATTTGTATTTACTAGTATCGTTTCATCCCTATACACAACACAAATGGCTTACAGCAAAGGGATATTTCGCTTGGTTTGTCAAGCTGCTTGTGTGATGTATTTCGCTCTTAATCGTAGTTCCGCAGAGCGAATCAACACGATTTTAGAGGCAGTCAAGAACGAACTTATAAAAAGTTTGAAAACTTGTGAATTTTTTAGTTTGCCACTTAACGAAAGTACCGACGTAGTGGGACTTAATGTTCTTCTCGTGTTAGTTAGTGCCGCCACTAGATTTAAAATCTTTATTGGATGACGCTGCGAAGATAACAGAGGCCCGCGAAATTAAAATACATCTTTTGTTTTTTCTAGCGCGCCGAGATTTTTTTTAATGATGGCAAGTATATTTTAGGATTTCTAGCAATTTGCATGGAAACTCCATAAATACACAAAGTAAATCAGAAAAACGTATGTAACTTCGAAGTTAACGCCATTTAAATGGAAAATGGTTTTTATTTTCTGTCAATTTCCATATAAGATTCAAAAAATTTAAATAATTATTCTCTTAAATTGCTTTCGTGAAATTGGCAGTAGAAATTATTTTCTTAACGTTAACGCGCATCCCAGCGTTAACTTGAAAGGTTTAGAAAAAAACATTTTCGAATATTTTCCCAATATTGACTCTGAGGATGTCTACAGCTGGATAATAAATCCGTTTTTATGTGACCCGAAAAGTAAACCTACTGAGATGACTAACTTAGCTTTTTAAGACCTTCTGGACATCACTGAAGGCAAACTTTGAATATTAAATATTACGAAGTGAGCCAAGAAAGCTCTGGATGCAAGTGTATGCACTAGTGTTGGCAAGATTGCATCAAAAATACTAGTGACTTTTACTTCTACATTTCTATGTGAGACTGCATTTTCAACAAATGCTTACATAAATAAGTAATTTTTAACCGACTTCCAAAAATGGAGGAGGTTATCAGTTCGTCGGAATATATATATTTTTTGTATGTATGTTGCCGCATGACTTTGGACCACGTTAACCGATTTCGATAATTCTTTTTGCATCAGAGGTGGTCCCATACTAATCTGGTTTAGATTCGATCATTGGATCTTGAAATATATAGATATATATATATATTTTTTTAAGTCGGTTTTTTTTGCTAAAAAATACTTGA